AAAAATTAACACTCTTTGGTATATTTCACTTTACTTTTCCAAATACCTTATTATTTTTGAAAAATAACACACCTTTTCTATGTTTCTGCAGAATTATTTATTTATTTATTTATTTATTTATTTATTTGTCTAGTAATAAAATATTAAAAAAGTTAAAAGAGGCAAAATAAATACCTATGAAAAAATAGAGAAAAAATAATAAAAATAGTACAAACTTACCAATAACACAAATATAAAGAACAGAATAAAAAGGCAACAAACTATAAAAGACAGATATGACTTGATAAGTAAAGCATTTTTTATGTCATTAGTCAAACAACAAAAATGATCGACATTATTTTCTATCTCACTGTACTTGGAACCAGTTTGATACAATGGTGACTAGGATGCTACTAGGATGTTACTACGTGCTGCGGATAGACTAAAAACATTACTTCTAGCTGATAGTCGTGGTACTTTGATATTAATATTACTTAAAACGCCTGGACAGTCCAAAATGTTATGTAGAACTTTATACAAAAACATTACTTGAAAACTTCTTTTAGCAAGGACATGAATATTGAAACGCTCAAGTAATAGATCATGCGGAAAACCCTGAGGGGGATATGTACAAGTACACAGCTGACTTCATAAACCTACGCTGTACTCTTTCCAAAATTGCAATTTGATTAACATAAATTGGGTTCCAGACTATTGATGCATATTCTAATTTAGAACGAATAAAGGTAGTGTAGAGCAATCGTAGTGTAGAAGTGCTGATAAAGCCTTTGGAATTCTTTATTATGAACCCCATAATCTTGAAAGCAGATGACGCAATATATGTTTTGTAAAAGATAATGTAGGGTCAAATGTAATTCCAAGGTCCTTTATGTAATCGGGTCTATGCAATATTATATTATCCAATGTACACTTGGAGGCATTTAGCATTAAATTATTATTTAGACAACACAGACTAATGACATTAAGCGCATTCTGTAACATATAACAGTGGGCAATGGTGTTTATTTCGCAAAATAGCTTAAGGTCATCTGCATACATTAAATGGTGTACTTGTAAATCAACCACGATGTCGTTTACAAAAAGAACAAAGAGTAAGGGTCCGAGTATAGATCCTTAAGGCACACCAGATATTTGCTGAACCTTGTGCGATTTGAAACCACGATGCTGAACAAACTGATACCTATTTTGTAAATACGATTCAAAAAGTTGCAAAAGTGATTCGGACACACCAAACCCATCTAGTTTGGACAGCAACAGGTCGTGGTCGAGTCTGTCAAAAACTTTAGTGAAATCGGTATAGATAACATCGACTTGTTTCATCTTGTCAAGTTTCTCACTAATAAACTGAGTTTTTTGGACAAGGTTAGTAACAGTGGATCTGCCCTTAATGTCTAATTGTTGAAAAATGTTATCTTAAGCTGCTTTAATACATGTTTTTTTTAATTAAACAGTTTTTAAAACTGAAGTACAAAATTTATAATTTGTAACTTTCTAGATCCAAGCCTGTACATTCAAAGTAAATGTCTTATTTTGGTTCTTAGTATAACGTAGGTTAATTTTGAATTTATTTAGGTATCCTTTATATTATAATTAGGTACTTTATCTAGCAAATCCAAAAGCAGAGAAGAATGCGAAAAGAAAGAAAACCTCGGACAGAGTTCTGAAAATATTAGCTATGTTGGTTATTACAATGTCCATGAAATAAAAACGGATGTGAAATAATTGCGTCCGTGAAGTATTTGCATTCGTAAAATAATAATCAGTTAACGAAGCCAGTCCAAATGATTATTGACTTCCAGATGATCAAAATATTGGTTCTAATAAGATTACAACAGTGGGTAATTCTGAAATATGTAATTTTCTCGTAGATAATTAGAAAGTAATTCAAACATTGGGTAATGTGGAATACGACCTTAGGAAATTTTCGTTCATATTCCCTAACCTTAATAAAATGGACTAGTAGGTGTTCTTTGACACATGCAAATGGCCAGTCAAATGTACGGGTTATAATGATTTTTTCCAAAAACGCTGAGACTTTGTGTAACATAAAAGGGAAGAAATTAATGACAATAAAAATTAAAGAAAAAGTCCATGAGAAAATTTCAGTACATTCTAATATTTTCTGGCACTTGTAGTTATTAGTAAACTATTTTCGTATATTTCTGAATTTGTCTAGTTTGTGTAGTTTTTGTTTTTCGATTTTCATTTATAGTTTTTCATTATTGTACATATAATATTTTGAAAATTTGAAAACGTATGAGAAAATTTAAAATAAGCACGAATTTTTGTTCAATTTAATAAATTTCTATAACAAAATACACTGATCCTGAGAATAATTAATTAATATAATTGGAGCAAGAACTTTTTGCAGTTAATTGTTTACTTTTAGTCGTTACACTAAATGCTGAATTTTCAGTTTTAGTTAAAATTGATTAATTATAAATTCAGCAAAAATGTAACAAACTTTTAACGCCTATTTTTCCACTTTTGTAATTACATTTTTTAAGACCGGTCCTGGAATGCCAGCCAAGAGTATAATTTAAAAAAATATATTAGAGAATTTGAACAAACCTTTCAAATACTGTATCGAAAAAAATAAAACTAGTTTATTTGGTATGGCTGGATTCGGTTTTCTATAAGCTTTTCAACGAGCCTCCTCATGCCTTATGTTTCCATTTGAAAAAAAAAGTAGGGGTAGCTGTGGGTTAGGGGGTTGAAGAAAAATTAATTATTATATAACCGAAAGATGGGAAAAAATCAAAATCAATTAACGTGTTTTGACGTTTTAAAAAAAATTAACTCAATATTATTCCGTACTTCTGGCCATCCCTGTATATAGAAGGAAAGTACTTACACTTTTTACTGATCAGTTGAAATTTCTTTTAATGAACGAGTATAACTTGTTTGTGCTATGAACGAAATGAACGAAAAATTGAAAGGAAATAAATGAACGAATAAGAAAATTTAAAATAAATTCCAAAAAACTAAAAAAAATATGACTTTCCCTAAGCAGGTATGAATTCTATGTTGCTACTTTCAAATTTTGTAACGATAATGACGATCTCTACTACTGATTGCCATGTATATTTGCATGCTCTTTACTTATAGTCCAGAGGTTCAGAAGGTGTAGAATTTTCCATAATTTTCCTAAAACATTTGTTACAAATCGGCTGTAAATATGTTATAGAACAATACACTAAGTACAAAACGGCGTTGTTCTAATTTTTTTATTGGAAAATTCGGGAAAAATATTTCTTAAAGTTGCTGTCAATTTTCTACAAATTAATGAAACCTTATGAAACTTCTCTAAATTCCTATACAGGGTGATTCACAAATGGTGACCAAAAATGAAACCTCCTATTCTTTGGTAAATTTTAAGGGGAGCGTTTCCTATAAAGTTTTTATCTAGGACGCTACGTTAAAAATATACAGGGTGTTAAACTTCAAAAAATATTTTTAATTTTTTTAAATAATTTAAAAACTAATAAGTGAAATAATTTGAAATTGGGCACATGTATTTATGTAAACATTGTCCAAAATCTGAGGACTTTTCCTAAAATTTACATGCTCCAGTGGCGGAGATACAGTGTATCGGTGGCATATTTTTTGAAATAAAATAGTATGGCACTGCTTTACGGTAACAACCATGATATTTTGGGATTCATCTCAATTTATTACCACTCTCTTATGTTTTTCGAAAAAAGCCTGATTTTCGAGTAAAACTTAAAAAAACGAACTGAGAAGATACTTCGATATTCGAATATAATACTTTTTAAAATTACATAGTGGGCTGCCATAGCAACTTTGACATTCTGAGCAGTTAGAAGAATAAATATTGCTTTTCATCAGATTCAAGCAACAATAAATTGCGAACAAATTACATTTTCGTTACTAAAAGATGCGGGGCCTGTGTTCGTGGAAATATGAGTATTTTTTGAGCATTTACTCAAATAAAATCATTAAAATGATGACTTATGTTATTAATTTCTTTATTCGAATAAATAACCGAATGATTAGTGTTTGTCATGTAATTTAAGTAAAAGTGTTTTCAGTTTTCGAAAAACATAAGAAAGTAGTACTTTGTAGAAAATTGAAAGACGAATCCGAAAATATCATGATTGTTACCGTAAAGCAGTGGCATACTATTTTATTTAGAAAAATATGCCACCGATACCCTGTATCTCCGCCACTGGAGCATGGAAATTTTAGGAAAAGCCCCTAGATTTTGGACAAATACATGTGCCCAATTTCAAATTATTTCACTTACTAGTTTTTAAATTATTTAAATTAATTAAAAATATTTTATGAAGTTTAACACCCTGTATCTTTTTAACGAAGCGTTCTGGATAAAAACGTTATAGGAAATACTCCCCTTAAAATTCACCAATGAATATAGAAGATAGAAGCGTCATTTTTGGTCACCATTTGTCAATCACCCTGTATAATAAACTGCCCAAGCCCATTATAGGGCAGATGAGTTGTTGCCCAAGTAATTGCTATTAACAGCCTTTTTTAAATTCTGTGAGCGAATTTTGAAATAGTGTTAAAAGATACGTAACTTGCCCAACAGCAGTTTTCGGGAATTTATTACACACGAATTCATGAGTATTTTCCGAAAATATCAAAGAGCTCAATTACTTTTTAAAAAATTGATAGCAACTTTTGCAATAAGAAAATGTCTTGTAGATTTTTTTTTTAAACAAAAATGATCCCTTCCACTTTCTTTACAGAGTGCGACCAACCGAAATATTGAAGAAAAACGGGTAAAAAAACATTATTCATGTGTGGCTGACTGGACTATTATCGACCTCCTACTGTGACTATTTCATTACAAAGCAAATAGTAACGTAGTAAAAGAAACGGAAACCTTGGGTACAACGTACACGTTCGCCTAGCGAGACCACGTGGTCTCTGAATTATCATATCCTTATCATTGAGTTAATTAGTTCACAAACATCTGTCAGAACCCATACGGTACAAGGAATTTGAATAACTTGTGATTCGGTAGTTTTATCATTGTGTCGGTGATGAGTTTTTCAAGACGCGTTAGTGATGGCATCGAAGAAGAGAGAACGCAACTCATCGACACGACGTCGACGTTCCGTACGAACTATTGTGAAAAGTTCTTGATGGTGATGTTGGTTTTGGTCATCATGATAGGGGTGTCTGCTTCGATTTACCTTTTAATCGTGGAAGGAAAGGATCCCGTTCCAAATAGCTTCACTCTAGTGCCTCAAACAGAATGGCTGATCCGAACGAGGTGTAAGGATACCCATCAGCTTCAGCTACCTGTTCAACGAATCCTACTGCTTCCAACAAACACTACTGAATGTCGGAGCGAATCGGAATGTTTGAAGGGACTTAGGAACCTTCAAAACGACCAAGTTAAAAGACTGAACGGTACAAACATCCCATATAACTTTGTCTTGGCGGGGGATAATCGAATATATGAAGGAAGAGGATGGGACTGTTCTAGCAGTGACAGCAATGGTGTCGATATTTTCACTATAGCATTGTTAGGAAAATATGACGACCAATCGCCAACAGATAAACAAGTGAAGGTCTTAGAAGCGTTTCTTGAACATGCCGTCATGGAGAAACTTGTCTCTAATTGTTATAAAATATTATCACGAGGTTCGACAACAACATACATTACTCAAGTAGCATTCGATTTGGAATCAAGAAGAAAGAAGAACATGTGTTAGGTAGTTTTAATTATTCAAGAATTGTACTAAAGATCATTTGTACTTAATGATACTTGTAATATGACTTTACCTCAGAATATGTGATAGTGAATGTTGTGATTGTCTAATTTGATTGATTGCATTATATTAATGTAGAACAACAATTAAAGGGCAAAATGGATTACAGAAAGACTTTGGAAGATTGGCCAAGATGGCATGTACATACCCATTAGTGCGAGAAAGTAAAATAACTCCCTTGTTATTCATAACACAGAAAAAGAGTTATATAAAAGTTGTAGTGAATCAAGAAACCTAAACTACAAAATTAATTTGAAACATGCAGAGCGATGAGTAAAAACGGGACACGCCAAATATTACATTTTAAAGTGAAACACCCTGTATATTTTTTAACATGGATTTCCGAGGAAATTCTGTATACGGCAATTAAACAGTTTATTATTTTATTGTGGGGTTGTCAAGTTATATAGAAAATTATTCGAATTTTGGAAAAAACGACCTCGAACAAAATAATTAGACAGAGTTATAGGCAAATATTAGACAAAGGCTCCTATATTAGCTAATATCGATATTTTATACAGGGCATTTTTTATAACATGATCATTTTTAGAAAGTTTAAATTTGATTTTCTAAAATTTTTCTGTATTTTGTTCTATTTTATTCACATATCGGTCCACTTCAACTTTTATTAAGCATGTTCTATCTAAAATTGTTAGTTTTTAAGATATAGCAACATTTCTGAAAAACTTAATTTTTATTATTTTATAGAATGCCAACTAACAAATATTAACTAATAAAATTAACTCAAAACGGAATGATAAATTATGAACTGACAAGTTGACACAATGTGACAGTTTTTTCCAAAGCCATTTCGTGCGACCGAAAATAATAAAAATTAGTTTTTTCAAGAAAAGTTGCTATATGTATATTAAAAACTAACAACTTTAGGTGTAGAACATACTTAATAAAAGTTGAAGTGGACTGATATGTGAATAAAATAGAATAATAAAATACAAGGTGTTGTATTTGAAAAATTTTAGAAAATCAAGTTGAACTTTCTAAAAATGATTGTATTATAAAACATGCCCTGTATAAAATATCGATATTAGCTAAAATAGAAGTCTTTGACTAACATTTGTCTACAACTCTGTCAAATATTTCTGATCCAAGTGTCAGTAGTTGAAAGTTAATACAACTTCTTCGACGTCATGTTGTTTCTAAAATTCGAAGAATTTTCTACATAACTTGAGAACCCCGCACTAAAATATTAAACTGTTTATATTGCCATATATAGAATTTTCTCAGAAATCCATATGTTTAAAAATATACAAATATTTTGTCCTTTAGGTTTTTTGATTCTGTACAACTTTTATATAAACCCTTTTTCTGTATTGCGAATAACAGGGGAGTTATTTTACTCTCACACTAATGGCCCACCCTGTATACAGGGTATTCTGAAAGTCCGTCAGGAAACTCCGGGAGGTGATTCTACGGATTTAAATAATAGCATTATGTAAAGAAATTTTTTTTCGGATTGTTAATAGTTTGCAAATTACAGCTTGTCAAAGTTCAATTTTTTTTTTAGAGATGGTATATAGCATGGCATCATGATTAATTGCAGAAAGAATTATTAATAATTTCATGTTTAATAACACTTTAATAGGGATTTCCTGCTAAACGGTTACATTTATCGACTAAGGGTACATAATTTTTTCTGATGTTATTTTTCTTTTCAATAATGTTTAAATTTCTCTGATGTCCGGCAAGAGAAAAAAAGTTATTAAACACAAACTTTGAGTTCCAGGTAGTGCCCTCTAACGGTGCATAATGAAACTTTTCTCTGACTGGTCCAATAGAACTTCATCTTCTTAGTGGGTGTGCCAAATGACAAACTAATCAAACTTGAATCAACAAAGTTATTTAAATAAAAAAATATAAAAAATAACTGACAAGCTATAACTTGCAGACAATTGACAATTCGAAAATTTTTTTTACTACATACTGCTAATATTTTAATCCGTTGAATCACCTCCCGAAGTTTCCTGACGGAAAGAACACCCTGTATACATAAAATGTAAACTATCTTGGCCAAAATTTGTTAGGAGCACAAAGGAAAATTTCTACAGTAAAATATTTTAGAAAAATTAAGTTGTTTAAAAAACTAGTAATGGCCTAGAGAGCATACTTTTCGATGTGCCTCATTTAATAATTTTCATAAAAAGGGCAAGAACTAAAAAACAAAGTTGGTAGCGTTTTCAATTTTCTATTTCGATAAAAAAAATAAAAATTATAGCATTTCCTAAGATTTGGCTAAATAATTAACACAGGAGATTAACAAAACATTAAAAACATCTTTACGAATATAATGCGGTTTTAAATGTAATGACGATTCTTGAGAAATTTTTTTCTTACTGTGTTGTACTTACGTCAATACATACCTATATGAAAGGTTGCAGCCTATAGACAATGACAAATGCAATGTTAAATAAAAAAATGGCATTTCTTCTATTTACACATCGTAAATTATAATACATTGCCACGATAGCATTTACTTACATTCATATATCAGTACAAATCCATGTGGCAGTGACTGATAAATTACTTATTGATATTGGCTATTAACCTCAATGTTCCTGTAGTAGTTATCTTTGAACACTGTTTGCATTCTTTTGCTATGAAATTGTATAAGAGTGTTTAATATTATTTCTCCATACTGTTCATTGAATAATGTTTCATCAATAAATGTTTTTACTAAGATATATAAATTTTGTTTTTAATTTATTCTGATTATCTTATATTATTATACTGATAAAAAAATGTTCCAAGAAAAAATAGATATAGTAATAGATTGTTAAGAATTTAAAATAATTCAACCTCGGGATATCATCATACTAAAAATATAAAGTAAATAAATACTTATAAAATATTTTATTTTTTGTTTTAAAAAAACTTATAGAATTGAAACGACTTTTCCAAGAAATACTTACCATTCCAGATACATATTTTATTCTATAACTATCTAATATTACCTGCGAAACATCGCCTTACTGTTAAAAATGTTGTCACCGCCGTTCTTGGTGGTGAAAATTTGAAATATTTGAAATTATTCAATTTCCGTGGCTGAAAACATAATATAGGTATTGAATTTTCGAAACCCAGAGAGCTGCACTAACCAAATTTGGAAAGGACATAGCTAATACCATGTGAAACATCGCACTTATGTTAAAAATGTTGTCACCGCCGTTCTTGGTGGTGAAAATTCAAAATATTTGGAATAATTCAATTTTCGTGGCTGAAAACATAAATATATTTTAGTTAGGGTGGCCCAAAAAAAACGAATATTTTTTTCGTGTCTCTTGTGAAAATATGTTAGTTTATCACGTTTTAAAAACCCCCTCAAAAAATCAGCTCAAACAAATTTTTTAGAGGTAACTCAAGATTTTTAAAAATTTCCAAAATCGTCATATATTAAATTCTTTTTTATTTTTTTATCGTTATTTTATCATTTTCTAGGTTGAAAAAATCTGGATTCTGAAAATATCAAATCCATATTTTAATTTCTAAAGGTCACTCATAATTATTTTAACTTTCAAAGTAGTGTACTTAAAATGTTTTCGAGCGATTTCTAAAAATAAATATTAACGAACTATAATTTTTTTATTGAATTTGATCAAGAAAGAATAGCAATAAATCACGAGGCACTTAAATTTTTAAAAGTGAAAAAATTATAAATATTTGATTCTCAGTGAGGTAGTAAATTTTGCCTCGAGAAATTTTTGAGTGTCTCGTGATTTATTTCTATTCATCAAATTGAATAGAAATAAATATTAGTTCGTTGATATTTATTTTTAGAGGTCGCTCGAAAACATTTTAGGTACACTACTTTTAAAATTAAAATAATTATGAGTGATCTTTAGAAATTAAAATATCGATTTGAAATTTTCAGAATCGAGATTTTTTTCAACCTAGATAATGATAAAATAATGAGAAAAAAATAAAAAAAACAAAATTCAATTTTTGACGATTTTGGAAATTTATAAAATTCTTGAGCGACCTCTAAAAAATTTTTTTGAGGTGATTTTCTGAGGAGGCTCTTAAAACATGATAAACTAACATATTTTCAGAAAAGACACCCTGTAGGTATTGTCTTTTCGAAACCGAGAAAGCTGCACTAACCAAACTTGGTCAGGGCACAGCAATACAATGCGAAACATCGCCTTAATGTTAATGTTGTCACCGCCGTTCTTGGTGGTGACAACTCGAAATATTTGGATTTATTCAATTTTCTTGGCTGAAAACATACATAGGTATAGAATTTTCGAAACCGAGAGCGCTGCATCTGTCAAATTTGGACAGGACATAACTAATACAATGCGAAACATCTAGTCCAAGCATTATGGAGAAATGCTTACTGAAATTATTACCTGGACAAAAAAAATATGACCGTATAGAAAATTCAATTTTAAATTGAGTTTCTTGTTCTTTAAACTCGATCCAATAAGGCGAACATGGTTAAAAAAATCGCAAAGTTGAAAAAACGGTTTTTCTAAAATAACAAAAAGAATATAGCACGGATTGAAAAATTTTAAATGAGAAAGTTGTAGGTTTTAAAAAGATCTATCGACTGATTTTTTGAAAGTATCGATTGCTTTGTTACTTTTCGAGATATATCGAAAAAACCGTTAAAAATCTTCTCTTTTCTCTTCTTCTATAACTCGTTTACATTTACGTGCCCATATTTGCTATTTACTGCAAGCATAGCCCGCGGCAAGCCAAAAAAGTACATTTTTGAAAAATTTAAAAATATTAATTATTTTTCGAGATATATCGATTTTTTGAAAAAAAGGCGCTCTCGAAAATTGGCTAGATCTTCTCAGCGGATAGCCCTACAGTAACGATTTTCGGTTTATTTTCTTCGTAAAGAGTTATATTATCATGCTGTTAAAAAATGTTGACGATTTTATTAATTTTAAGGATCAAAAAATGACTGAAAAAGTTGCACTTTTTTTGGGTATGTTTTTTTCAAATAACTATTTCAATTTTTATTATTTTTTTGTACTTAATCTGGGGTAGCTAAACACGAATATTATAGCATTTTCGCCTTAGAAGCAAAATAGACCCGTAAATGTTTAGTTTTCTTTCTTTAAAAGTCATTTTCATAAAATAAAAATTG